ACCTCCCGTTTGAAGTGGTGACTAAATGGAGTCAAATTGTCCTATTTATACTCACAATGAACAAAAGAATTATGGCACCACTTTAATTGAAAATAATAATAATAATAAAAGTACTAAATTCACACTAATATGTCAAACATAAAGAAATTTAAAACATCTAAAATTACAAGTTGAACATATTCAAAAGTAACATAATTAGTTAAAAAAGAAACAATCATAATAAAGAGAGCCAAAATTTGCTAAGGACTGAATTGCAAAAATTGAAAACTTTTGGGGGATAAAAATTATATTTTCCAAAGTTCAGGGGTCAAAATTAAATAAAAGATAAAATTCAAGGACCAAAATGAAATTAATTTAAGGACCGAGTTGAAAGGAATTTAAATGTTCTGGGCCGCAGTGAAAGTACTTGAAAGTACAGGGACTGATATGCGAAAACATTTTCTTATTCCTTAACAAATCAGGCCACTGGGCCATCATTTTATTTATTTCTGGGCTAAAAACTACCTAAGCCCAACCGAAATCCAAAGCAAAAGGAAAGAGCCAGTCCACTATTCTAACCTCAAGAATAAATCAACCAGCTGATGGGCCTTAACCCTTCAGCCCAGGACAAACCCAAATGAAAAAAAAAAACCTAACCCAAATCCAAGTAACCCAAACAAATAGCCAAATCCGATTCCCCTTTCATTTTACCAAAACCCAACAAACTAATAGTTGAACTAAAAAATGTTAAAGTTTAATTTCATTCCAAAATCCAGAATTAATTAACTAAAAGCACAATTAAAACATAAAAAAAAAGATTTAAGCTTGAAAGGGGTAAACATGATTGATTTGCAGAAGTTTTTGGGCTTTAGTGAAACAAGGAGAGACTTGAGGGGTTAAAGTGAAATTGGCTAAAATTTCCCATGCAAAGCTGCGTTCTTCTTCTCAAATTCAGAAGCTTTCTGCAACCTTGCTTCGCGTAGCATTTATGTCAGATGCAAGCAACCAAAATCCAGTCAAACATCAAACATTAAACATTCAAACTAAAACTACATGACTTGCAACTCTAATCATCAAAACTCAACCAAAATCTAAACTAAAGTGAACCATCCAAAAGATACAAAACAAGAATAGACGCAGCAAATTCTATGCAACAATTCTTCTGCAACCTTCTGGGTTTGCTGCAACATTCTTTCTTATTCCACCCACGTATGTTAATGCAATAAAAAAAAACTCAAGTAAAACCCACTAGTTTATCAATCTAAGACCAACAAAACTTCCACCCATTTAATTTACATAATCTTAAGCTATGGTGCACACTTTGAAAGATCAAACACGGAGGATTTAGTTTGAGGAAAAACAACAAACAGCAAATGGCTTTGGCTTTTGGAAGAGATCGGACCTAGAACCCCCAAGAAGCAAAAACTCTGTGGTTATAATATTAAAACTAACATCTAACCATCTCTAATACTCTTTTAGTAAATCTGTAGCCATCAAAACCCAAATCTTTGAAGCAATAAAGATCGCAAAAATGAAAAAACTAACAGATACATGTATCATCGAAGAAAATTCATGCAATGCTTCAACAAAATCTTATAAAAAATGTTAAATGGGCAAACTTAAGAGGTATTCGTTACCTGCAAGTAGTTGGGGACTGAATCAATGTGAGGAAAATTAGGAGCTTGTGCCTGGAATGTTGGACACGAAGCAGAAATTTTCTTTCGCCGCCCTCTCCAGTCTCTTGCTTCTTGTCCCTTTTATCTTGGATCCGTTGCTTTCCTTCCTCTTTTTTTTACCTATTCTCCCCCCCTTTATCTCGTCCAAGAGAAAGTGCCAATAATAGAAGCCAAAAGCTCCTTTTCCTTCTTCTTTTGCTTTTTCTTTTTGCCTTTTTCATTCCTTTTTCCATTCGTTACTGGAAATGTGTCTGCCAAAGCTTGGTCAAAGCAAAATTTGGTGGCCATCATGATATCTAAACATCATGATGGCCAACGCCACTTCCTCTTATCTTTTTTTCTTCTTTTTTTTTTTAAGAAACAAACCTGGAAATACATATATATATAAATGTAAGAAAATAAATAATTCAATAAAAAGTATTCAAGAAAAACATTAAAATTTTAACAAAATTTTGGTGTCTACAGCTTGCCCCTCTTTGTCTAGAGTTTCAGGGAAATTCAAGACAAAGACGTAGACACCAAAATGCTTACCTATCTCTTCTAACTGCATCTGAGTTAAAACAAACAAACCAACACTTGGCTGAGATTATTGAATACAAGATACAACGAAATTACAAAACACGTGACCGAACTCATGTAGAGTTGCCTACGTATCCCACCATGGGAATTAGGTCAAACGTAGTTCAAAAACCAATGAATCACAATGAAATATGTGCATTGACCATCTGTGATCTTTGCAAAGTCTAAAAAGTCTGAGCTCTCAGAACTTCTAAACATGAAATACAAAAATGAATGATAAAGCACAATTATTAACCAAAACAGTCAAGAAAAGCAACTTGTCATAACTAGAAAAAGATGCGCGGAGGGACGCGGTTACGCTCCAAGAATGGGGATAGAAGGGTGCGCGGTGGACGCTGAGACTCACCAACAGGAAATTTAAATTGTCAAGAAGGGGAATAGAAGGGTGCGCGGTGGATGCTGAGACTCACCAACAGGAATTTAAATTGTCAAGAAGGGGAGGTAGAAGGGTGCGCGGTGGACGCTGAGACTCACCAACAGGAATTTAAATTGATGCGCGGAGGGACGCGATTACGCTCCAACAGAAAATTAAATTTGTTAAGAATGGGAGATAGAAGGGTGCGCGGTGGACGCTGAGACTCACCAACAGGAATTTAAATTTGTCAAGAAGGGGAGGTAGAAGGGTGCGCGGTGGACGCTGAGACTCACCAACAGGAATTTAAATTGATGCGCGGAGGGACGCGATTACGCTCCAACAGAAAATGAAATTTGTTAAGAATGGGAGATAGAGGGGTACGCGGTGGACGCTGAGACTCACCAACAGGAAATTAAATTGATGCGTGGAGGGACGCGATTACGCTCCAATCAGAAAATTAAATTTGTTAAGAATGGGAGATAGAAGGGTGCGCGGTGGACGCTGAGACTCACCAACAGGAATTTAAATTGATGCGCGGAGGGACGCGATTACGCTCCAACAGAAAATTAAATTTGTTAAGAATGGGAGATAGAAGGGTGCGTGGTGGATGCTGAGACTCACCAACAGGAATTTAAATTTGTCAAGAAGGGGAGGTAGAAGGGTGCGCGGTGGACACTGAGACTCACCAACAGGAATTTAAATTGATGCGCGGAGGGACGCGATTACGCTCCAACAGAAAATTAAATTTGTTAAGAATGGGAGATAGAAGGGTGCGCGGTGGACGCTGAGACTCACCAACAGGAATTTAAATTGATTTTTGCCAAGAATCTAGGTAGTTCAAGAGAATGAAAATATACTCGAAACTTGGTGGACTTACAGTCTCCTCTTGATTTTTGAACTTTAAAAGAAAGAAAATTGTGATTTTTCTTTTCTTTCTTCGGAAATGCCCAGCGAAATTCGGAACTTAATCCTTCTACTGGTTGCCCCAGTGTGAATCATGCTCAAATGAACCAGTGTTGTGTCACATAATTTTTCCTGCAAAAAGGAGAAAAGGAAAAGAAACAACTATGACAAAAACGCTGCCACCACCATGTGATCCTTTTGCCTTGAGAACCATGTAAACATGAGTTTCGATATCAACCAATCGCTCCCTTAGGTTCAGCCGACAACCCTTCAAAACCTTTGCAACTGTCAAATGTCAATTGTCCGTACTTTAGTATCATAGGATCTTAAATTTCATGACTCTTTAGAGATAAATTATAGGGGATTGTCTTTTGAATGAGACCCAAAATATGAAAACTATAAACAATAAAATAAAATAAAAAAAAAATAGTATTCATCATGCAATAATGCTAATATGAAATGAACAATGATACACAATAAATAAAAAAAATAGCAAATAGAATAGTAATACAAAATTGTTGAATTTTTGAATAAAGGCCCAAGGATCAAAATTCGGATTCGTATTTAGAGGATGGCCTTTGATGAGGAAAAATGCTCCATCTGACCCTTTCGTAGTCATCCATTTTGGAATTCATTGTCGGCAAAAGAACAACAGTATGAAAGAGACCCAAATCAACATAGTCACCAGCTTTCAGACCTCAACATCTTATTCTCTGTCGCTGATTCTCTTGTACTCCAAAACCCTACCTCAGCGCCCTTTTGGGTTTTCACTAAGGTTACCCCCACCCCTTTTTCTTATTTTTTCTTTTTCTTCTTGTTTTGTTTTTTTTTTTTCTTTTCTTTTCTTGTCTTTTTCTTTTTTCTTTTTTTTTCTCTTTTTTTTTTTTTTTAGAAGGTGCCCTTTCAGGTTTTCACCTAGAGACATAGATAAGATAAATTTAACCCCAACCGTATCACTGCAGTCATGCTCTGATAATGAGTAGCATCAGTGAGACAATCTTCTCTGACATGTTTCAGAAAAGTTTGTATTTACATCATTTGCTAGTTGATTAAGAAAATTTTTTTTTTTTCAAAATACTGCAGAAGATGAAATTCGGCAAAGGAAAGGTTAAGGCTTGAAAGGATTGACAGCGGATCATATGATGGGTTTGCAATCATTTGAGATAGCATTCTGTCAAAGCTTACCCCGATCTAGGGTAAGAAAGAGATAAAATTTGCCCCAGTTTAATTCTGGCAGAGATAAAACTTACTCTTCCCCTTTTTTTTTATATTTTCTTTTTTTTACTTTTCTTTTACTTTTTACTTTTTTTTTTTTTTTTCAAAGAAACAAAATTGCCCCGGTATAGGGGTTAGTGATCTTAAGGGACTGCCAAGCGAGAAAAAAAAAATGTGGTTATGAAAAGTCAAAAGGGAAAACAGATTAGGGATAAGACATCGAAATGGAACAATGAGAGGAAGTATGCCTTAAATCCGTCTCTTGCAGTATTTTTTAAAGAAAATTTTTATAATCAAATGAAAAACTTTTTGCACATGTCTGCATTGATTGGTTGGGGAAAAATTTGACCGTCCATTTCCATAAGGATAAGCGCTCCTCCGGATAGCACTTTCTTAACAATGAATGGTCCTTGCCAATTGGGAGCAAACTTCCCTTTAGCCTCATCTTGCATTGGAAGAATCCGTTTCAAAACCTTATCTCCAACTTCAAACAAACGGGGCTTAACCTTTTTGTTGTAAGCACGGGCCATTCGTGGCTGATAACATTGTCCATGACAGACGGCATTCAATCTCTTTTCATCAATTAGAGACAACTGCTCCTGACGTTCTCTAACCCATTCAGCTTCTTCTATCTGAGCTTCCATCAGAATGCGCAAGGAAGGAATTTCAACTTCTGCAGGCAGGACTGCTTCCATTCCATACATAAGAGAGAAAGGAGTTGCACCAGTAGAAGTTCTGATGGTAGTTCTGTACGCCATTAGTGCATAAGGCAGCTTCTCATGCCAATCCCGGTGTGCTTCAGTCATCTTACGAATAATCTTTTTCAAATTTTTATTTGCAGCTTCAACGGCTCCATTCATCTGAGGCCTGTAAATGGCCGAATTTCGATGTTTAATCTTGAACTGTTCACATAATCCATCCACCATATCATTATTGAGGTTCTTGGCATTATCAGTGATCAACGTCTCTGGTACCCCAAAACGACAGATGATATTATTTCTCAAGAAATCCGACACCACTTTCTTAGTCACATGCTTATAGGATGCGGCCTCAACCCACTTGGTGAAATATTCAATCGCCACTAAAATGAATCGATGCCCATTTGAAGCAGAAGGATCAATAGTTCCGATCACATCCATTCCCCAGATCGAACATGGCCATGGAGCAGTCATACTATGCAATTCTGTAGGAGGAGCACGTATAATATCACCATGCATTTGACACTTAACACATTTTCTAACAAAATCTACACAGTCATGCTCCATGGTAAGCCAAAAATATCCTGTTCTCATGATCTTCTTAGCCAGTAGATGCCCATTCATGTGTGGCCCACAAACCCCACTATGCACCTCTTTCATCATATAATCGGCTTCCTCTTCATTGATGCATCTCAGAAGGCCCAAATCAGATGTTTTCTTGTATAGCACTTCTCCATTCAAGAAGAATCTTGATGACATTCTGCGTAAGAAAATTTTTGCAACAGAATCAGTATCAGGAGGGTAGGATCCTGTTTTCATGAATTCCTTAATATCCTTGTACCAGGAGCGACCATCAGTGACCCTTTCTGTAACCAGACAATGCGCTGGCCTATTCTGAAGTTGAATCTGTATAGGTTCAATCACCAGCTCATCTGGATGTTGGATCATCGAAGACAGAGTAGCTAAAGCATCAGCAAAGGCATTACGAGTGCGGGGAATATGTCTGAGTTCCAAATTCCTGAATTTGCTGGCCAAACTAAGCAAGTTACAATGATACAACATAATTTTTGAATCCCGAGTTACCCACTGTTTAAGCGTCTGGTGCACAAGTAAATCTGAATCACTGAATGCTATCAGATCCTTGATCTCCATGTCCAATGCCATTTTCAATCCAAAAATACAAGCTTCATACTCAGCCATGTTGTTGGTACAAGGAAATCGTAATTTGGCAGTAGCAGGATAATGTTTCCCTTCAGGCGATACTAAAACTGCTCCAATTCCAGCTCCAAAAGAGTTTGACGCACCGTCAAAAAATAACCTCCATCCAGGATACTGCTCACTCATGTCCTCAACCGCTCCAACGAACAGGATTTCTTCATCAGGAAAGTAGGTATGCAATGGCTGATAATCATCATCTCTTGGATTTTCTGCCAAATGATCTGCTATAACTTGAGCCTTGACTGCCTTTTGTGTTGTGAAGACAATATCGAATTCGGAAAGGATCATTTGCCACTTAGCCATACGTCCCGTGGGCATCGACTTTTCCAACAGGTATTTCAGAGGATCGGAACGGGAAATCAAGTAAGTGGTATAACCGAGCAAATAATGTCTCAACTTCTGAGCTGCCCATGCTAAAGCACAACAACTTCTCTCAAGGAAAGAATAGTTGGCCTCATATGCTGTAAATTTCTTACTCAGATAGTAGATGGCTTGTTCCTTTCTCCCAGACTCGTCATGCTGTCCCAGAACGCATCCGACAGCCTCATCAAGAACAGACAAATACATAATCAGAGGTCTCCCTGCCTGAGGTGGCACTAAGACCGGAGGATTTAACAAATAATTCTTGATCTTATCAAAAGCCTGTTGACAATCTTCATTCCAATCCATTGACGCATTCTTTTTCAACAATTTGAACAAAGGCTCACAGGTAGAGGTTAACTGTCCAATGAATCGGCCAATGAAATTGATCTTTCCAAGAAAACTTTTCACATCTTTTTGACATTTTGGAATGGGCATATCTCGAATTGCTTTTATTTTCGCAGGATCTATCTCTATGCCCTTTTTGCTGACAATAAAACCCAATAACTTACCAGCCGGAGCTCCAAAAGCACATTTTGCAGGGTTCAACTTCAAATTATACTTCCTCAATCTTTCAAACAGCTTCTTTAAATCAACCAAATGGTCATCAACCTTCTTGGATTTAATTATGATATCATCCACATAAACCTCCATCTCCTTGTGAATCATGTCATGGAACAAAGTAGTCATGGTTCTCTGATAAGTGGCTCCAGCATTTTTCAGCCCGAAAGGCATCACTCGATAACAAAAGGTTCCCCATGGGGTGATAAAAGAAGTTTTCTCTCTGTTTTCTTCTGCCATTAAAATTTGATGATACCCAGCAAAACAATCACCAAAAGATTCAATTTCGTGTCCAGCAGTATTGTCCAAAAGAATATGAATGTTTGGCAAAGGAAAATCGTCTTTCGGACTGGCCTTATTCAAATCTCTGTAATCAACACATACTCGCACTTCACCAGATTTCTTAGGCACTGGCACAGGGTTCGATAGCCAGGTGGGATAATGAGACACCATGATTATCTTAGCATTGAGTTGCTTCACAACTTGTTCCTTTATCTTGAGACTCATTTCTGGTTTGAATTTACGCGGCTTCTGCTTTACAGGTAAAAAATTTGGATCAATTGGCAACCTGTGAACCACTATATCTGTAGAGATCCCTGGCATATCATCGTAGGACCATGCGAACACATCTTGAAATAGCATTAAGAATTCAATCATTTCCTCCTTCTGTTTCTTATTCAAATGAATGCTGACTTTAACCTCTTTAACCTCGGTCTTAGTGCCAATATTGATGATTTCTGTTTCTTCTAAGTTGGGTTTGGATTTCTCTTCATACTGTATTAAATCTCTGGAAACAGACTCAAATTCTTCCTCATTGTCGCTCTCGTTTTGAATTTCAGATTGCATGATTTCAAGCTCATGAGAGATATCGAGATTGCAGCCATCGAATTCCAAAATGGTGACATCCAAAGGGTCGAAGGGTTTTATTTGTGGCCATCTGAAAATGAAATAGAACATATGTAATAAATAAATAGAAAATACAAGAGAAATCGTCCATTTCATTAAATTCAAAATGCATTGAAACTTCACAAAAGGCCAAATACACAAACATGATTGCCATTTAAAAACATATCATCCATTCCAATCATTTTTCTTCAACAAAACAAACAATACAAACTGAAATGGGAATAAAACTTCAGAAATTAAAAGCAATTTATTTTAACAAAATCTCCAGACTATCGTGCAATCTAGATATGAATCTAGACAAAAGACAATCCCCTTAAATTTACCGAAATTCCCTTCGAGAGGGAAAATAATCAGCAGTCCAATTTTGAATGGCTCCCTCGATAATTGGCAAAAATTCTAAATTCTCTGATGGCTCCTCTTCATCAATTGCCCCGACAAATAATTGAGATAGGTCCACTTCAATTTCTTCCACAAAATTTTTTGTTTCTGGCATGATCACTTCTGATGGACGAGGAAAAGTGTGATATAGCGGCGGGATATTTAAGGCAGTTTGCTTGCCCTTCTTTTCAGCTTGTTTTCGAGCTTGCATTTCCTTTCTATCCTTAGCAGTCGGATGAAATCCCAATCCAAATGTATCCTTCTGCGTCGGGATCTCTATTGGCTCCAAAATTCCTTGTAATTCTCTCCCAAGACCTTTTCCTATTTCGTATCCGCCTCGGATCATCTCCCTCGCCATCATAATACTGGCCTCTGGCAAATCTGAATGAGTTAGAGACTTATCCCTGGATGCCCATCCCACAGAGACGATGTCAGCAACATGATGAGCTGAAATTGGATTCCTTTGTCTGTTTTCACCATTGAATTTTGCATCAACGATCATGGTACAGTCATCCTCAGCAAACACAGTAATGAGTTGATCATTCGCAATAAATCTCAATATTTGATGCAACGAAGATGGCACTGAATTGGAAGCATGTATCCAAGGTCTTCCAAGCAAAATATTGTAAACGCCGGAGAAGTCCATGACTTGGCAAGTAACTTGGAATTGAGCAGGGCCTATCTCCAATACCAGATCTACTTCACCCATAGATTCCCTTTTTGAACTATCAAATCCTCGAACCACAGTTGCAGATGGACGGAGTTTAATATCAAGAAATCCAAGCTTGGTGAGAGTGTTCCATGGACAGATATTCAACGCTGACCCATTATCCACTAAAACCCTCGGCAACAGCTTTCCATTGCAACGGACTGATATATACAAGGCTCTGTTATGCCCGATCCCCTCTACAGTCAGATCGTCATCAGAGAAGGCAATATGATTAGCAGCAAGTACATTCCCCACGATGTTAGAAAATTTATCCACCGGAATATCCTTAGGGACTTGAGCTTCATTCAGAATTTTGAGCAATGCTTCTCTATGTAGCTCGGAGGTCAAGAGAAGATTCAGAAAAGAAATTTGAGTAGACATCCTATCCAATTGCTCCACTGTTTTGTACTCACTTCTCTTCAGCATCTTTAAAAAATCCACAGCTTCCTTTTCAGACACAAGAGGCTTGGGGGTTGAAGAATTATCCTTGGCTTTGAATTGAACGCCGATTTCGGAATTTTTCACAACTTTTTCAAACCTGGCAATAGTAGGTACCTCCTCCTTCAAGCATTTTTTATCTCCAATCAACAGACTAGGTTCCTCTTAGTTCCATGGTATCTCTTGCAAGTTATTGACAGGCATTTGTTCTGGAAATTCGAGAATAACAGGCTCTGATACATCCCATTCAAAAGATGGCAGATCCAGAATAAAAGGAACTTTGTTAACCTCGGAAACTCCCCCTTCTGCTATGAATGGCTCCTCTTTTTCAAACACAAAAGATTTCAAATTTCCCTCGACATTATCCTTAGTCATGGACTTTTCAACAGGCGACAGTTTTCTCATTCTCGCATGATCAGCCTCCATCACGCCAAACACTTCAGTTTCATCTACAATGTACTGAGTGGGATCTACACAATCTTCATCAGCGATGATAACTCCCACAGTGTTCCCATGCTCAGGTAAAGGATTCTTACTAACATTCGGTCCCTGCTCTCCCTTTCTTCTAAGAACGATGTCTCCAGAATCAATCATATCCTGGATCTTATGTTTTAGAGCCCAACAATTGCAAGTGGTATGGCCTGGACTTCCAGAATGGTAGGCACAGATTGCTTGTGGATCATAACTGTCAGGAGGACCTCTGGGATAGAGTTTGGGAGGAACAGTGCTAATTTTTCCCGCTGCTCTTAACTGCTCATACAATTGATCAATGGGTCGGCCCAAATTGGTGAAGGTTCGAAATTGCCTTTGATTTTGCACTTCCCTGGTTTGAAAAGGATTTTGAGAAGGGTTATTATTTTGTAGGGTTGGTCTGGGATAATAATTGGGACGGGAGTGATTTTGAAAGATAGGTTGTGGAGTCGGAGGTAATGGTGAGGTATTCAAATGACTTGGTCGGGAATGATGGAGTTGGGTAGTAGCGTGGTAGACTGGTTGAGCGTTGGTGTAATACTGGTAAGGAACAGAATAGATGGGATGGTTTTTGGGTCTAAAAGACGGGCCTTGATCCCATATAAAAGCAGTTTCTCCTTCTTTCTTCTTGAATTGGGACTTTTTCCCAATGTTGCTTTGATTCTGTAGAGCATCCAATTGCAACTTCAATGTCGATACATTAACAATCTTCCCTGCCTTGACAAACTCGTCGTATTCCTCCAACTTGTTAATAATAGCGGCAAATGAACTTCCAGTCATGCGAAAAATCTCTTCGAAGTAGGGTGGATCATGAGCCTTGATGAAAGTACGAACAATCTCCTCATCAGTCATGGGTGGCTCCACTTTGGCAGCTAACTTTCTCCACCGCTTTGCATAGGTCTTGTGATCTTCCGATGGCTTTCTTTTTGTACCCTCCAGTGTTGTTCGTGTTGGTGCCAATTCACAATTAAACTCATACTGCTTCACAAAAGCTGTTGACAGATCTAACCAAGTTTTTACCTCTCCAGATTTCAAATTTGAATACCAATCTAGAGCGTCCCCCTCTAAACTTTCCGGAAATAGACGCATAGGCAAATTTTCATCATCCACTGGCTTACCTAACTTGTTGGCAAACATCTTAAGATGCGTCTTGGGATTTCCAGTTCCATCATATTTGCTGAATTTGGGAGTTTTGAATCCCAATGGTAGCTGAATATCTGGGAAAAGACACAATTCATCGTAATCCAACCCACTATGCCTGCTCAATCCTTGATTCTTTTTCATAAAATCATCGAATCGATCCAATCTTCTCAACAGATCTTTGTCAATAGGCACAGGTTGTTCTTCTACCGCCGCCTTCCCTTGAGCTGCAGTGTCCAACACAAAAGGTGCTGCAACGTGATGGTGAGGTTCCTGAGGGTTGGGGGGAACGTTCAGATTAGTTTGTGGATGGGTTTGAGGGATTTGGTTACTGGTTGGGTTAATCAGTATATAATTCGGATGCGTATAGGAAAGGTCTGAATTTAGTTGGGTAAAGGTATTTTCAAGGGGATTAGCGAAGGAAGGAAGGAAAGTTGTCTGGGCATTGGATGTGTGAGGTGGTTGATTGTCTTGTGCATGTGGGTGGGTATCGACAGGTTCTCGGTCATTTGGGACACCACCACCGCTATTGCTTGTTACCAACTGATCAATGACAAGCCTCTGCGCGGCCATTTCAACACTTAAGTCATTGAACTTGTCAAGTACCTCACTTAACTGAGCTCCCAATGCTGTGAAGTCCGGTGATGTAACCATAGCAGATCTTTCCGAAGCCTCAGGCATTGAACTCATGTTTACAGGCTGTCTCAAGGCTCTACTTCGAGACCTGGTGATGATGGGGCTTCTTTGGGTAGCAATTGTGAAAAATATCTGCAAGTGGGAAAAAGAAACTGATTTAGGAGTGGATCTTCTGTCAAATTGCTGTAATTTATTCAAGAAAAAGAAAAAAGAAAAAAAAATCATGAGTTAGTAGATATCTAAATAATTCGGATGCATGTCCTATGGGGGAACCCTTTTTGTGCCAAGGGTCGGCCTAATATGATGCAACACCTTCGGGGTAAAATCCCAATTTCAAACCTGTAAGTGAATGTAGAAATTCTCATTAACCACTGACAAGTTCAATCATTTTGTACAGCTTCATTGATGGTTCGATTGACCATTTTTACAAAATCCTCATGCCTTGCTAAACTAGTACGTTGAGACTCCTTAGACCTTCCTATACTAAGCTTCCGAATTCCTTCTCGAATTTTGTCAAATGCATCCAGGGCTCTCTCCAACTTTTCAGTTTTTCTTGTCTCCCACTTTAATTGCGCTCGAGCGTCTTCCAGGGCATGGTCGGCCACTATGAGTTGCAATTGATAATCCTCGAGTTCTTTCTTCAGCTTGTCTATCTGCTCTTCAGGGCTGACAGGAGCGGACTGTGACTTCTTTCGAGATTGTTCAATTGTCAGTTTGATCCACTCATTATACTCTGAAATGACCTTAGGTTCCAATTTGTTCACTTGATCCAAGTGCAAGCTCTCTAAACTAAGAAGATTTCCCCAAGCTTCCAATACCATGCTCCGACTTTCAGCAACTGTGTTGAGTCTGATATTTTCAAGCCCTTGTATCATCGGAATTCTTTGCGGATACCCAAATTGCCTCATGACTCGTTGCGGAATATATGCGACCAATCCATTGGTGCCTGCTAGGGGGATAAAACTGTGTTGGGTAGTCGTGAAAACCGGATCCCTAACTTTTGTCCAATCCAAAACCCATTGTATTTTCTCAGGTGTCAAGTTATCGAACTCTTGAATAAACTGAGTCGGAGATGCAATTCGATAATACTTTTTGACCCTTTCTCAGTGTGATTCGATCCAATTCTCTGCGGGGAGACAAGATCCCAAAGGATTGAGCGTTCTCTTCGCTAGATGCTCCATTGCCCACATTTGGAGTATCAAATTTGACCCATAAAAGAAACCTCTTTTCTTTCGACATTCAGTAGCGGCCATGAAGATGTCGGCAATGATTACAGGCACCAAGGTAGGGGTCATTCCATTAATCCCTGAAAATAGGCTCTGAACCATGTTGATAGTGAAAAATGTGATCTTTCCATGCTTTTGCGGGAACAACAACAGATTGATCAAAGCTAATCCAAACGCTTGCACTCGCTTCTCTACCCATTGCTCCTTACTTATAAAAAAATCGGTTCGGTACTGTTCATAGGACCCTCTTTCTCCAAATCGTTCATACAGAAACTCTAACGGACACGATCTCGCATCCGGATGTTGGTTCATACTAACCTGCCTTAATCCCAAAAACCTATAAAACTGTTCCCTTGTTCCATTAGTTGGATATATCATAGGATAACCTTTCCCAGGTATCTGCAATAATCCTTCTATTTCTTCTAAAGTTGGTGTTAGTTCACATTCACCGAATCGAAAAATAGAACCTTCTGGATCCCAGTACTCAAGTAGAGCTTGAATGATTGCAACATTTGGAGTTATGCTTAGAAGACTCGGTAAATGTCCCACATATTTGAACAGTCTTTTCACCTCATGTGTCATATTATTTTTCCAGTCTGTTAGTTCCCGAGGTATCTGGTTCAGCATTCTGCATGGAGCCATCTGAGGAGGAATTTCACTCTTAGTACCTTACCTCGGGATTTTACCCCTTAGGCAATACAAAATCATAAACATGCAGGTCTCATTGGATTACATATCCGAGACAAAAGGTGACTTATTCCTACCGTGGGATTTCCTATGCGGCATTCCCTCTATGGTTAATGCATGATGACAATTTATTAAAGCATATTAAATATACAATGAAATAATTGAAATGTGACCTAAAGGTGCCCCCTTTAAATGCCGGGGTAAGCCTAAAATGATGTGCAATACATATGCATACTAAAATTTAAACATGCTTGATATAAGAGGCGGTCTTATCTTAAACGAGTACCATGTTAGGACTCTTATTTCTAAAGTTTGTGTATGCAGAAAAAGGGAAAACAAGGAGAGGTTAGTTCAACAAGTAACATATAACACGTTGTGACAATAAATGATACAAGAATGAAAAGTAAATAAAGCAAAGAAAGAGGGGTGAAATCCCTCCCCTCGTGCTTAGTGTTCCTAATTGGATATGTTGACTCTATCCTAGGTAATTTCTAATATGGATGCATGAGGTTTGGCTTACTAATGCATCTAGACTCGATAAGGTTTCAGGCTCCCAAGCCTTCAGACCAAAAAGTTAAGGGTCATCAACCCCAAAACCTTTGGTCGGTGGCTTGAGTGATCCCTTAGGCATCGCTATGGGTGCAGAGCACACCATCCGCCTACCTAAGGAAATCGATCCTAATCCTACAAGGAGATGTGGGATGGCGCCCACGAGAAAAATAAAAAAAGGGTAAAAATAATGCGTGCACGTATGAAGTGCTTCCTTTTGAGGGGAGAGATTATAATTAAAACACGTGTGGAGGCTCTACGGTGCTATTTTCCCCCACCCAAATGCAATGCGCGATACGAATAAATAAATAAATAAGCCATTCATCACATACACGTAAGACGAGGAATGATTACGAGTGTGAAATGCAAAACATTCTAAAAAAGAAAAATGCAACCTAAAACATCCAAATATGATAAATATAAGGGTTAAAAAGAGAAAAGACGACTAAGCCAAGTGCTTGGACTCTCTAACGTCCCCAGTGGAGTCGCCAAGTCGTCGCGCCCCATTTTTTTTGCGATGGAAAAAGAAAGTGTTTATAAAAAATGTGATTTATTAATAATAAACGGAAAAGGACCAAGAATGGGACTTAAAAAAAATGCGACAATTTGGGTCCAAAATTTAGTCTAAAAGGGTTTTGAAGAAAAATTAGGAGTCGCCACTTGGTATCGAGTTTGGGTGTACCAAGTCACCCAAAAATATTTTTAACAAAATAAAATAAAATAAAACCCTTTTAGACAACTCCAGGTCTTTGAAAACAAGAGAAAATGAGTTCGGGAGTCACGGTTGAAGAAAGGGAAGGCAAAGGTTCAATCAACTCAAACCTAAGGCACCCTTTCAACCTAGTCTAAGCTAGTTGCGTGGTTTAGTCAAAATTTTCTTAATTTAACCCTTAATTTATCACATTTGAATGTTTTCTACATGGATGCAAATCTAAATTCATAAAAACATCGAAAGGAACAAATGTTCATTCAAGGGTTTAATTGAACCAATCGCATTAATTGCAAAGGCCAAAATAATTCCTTGAAGGTGTCACGAGTATGCAAATGATGAAATTAAAAGTAAAGAAAAGAAATTAAATTATATACATAGTTATAAGTGATCAAAGAAAAAGGAAATGCAGCATAATGGGTACGGGAGACAAAAACTCGTGACATAATTTTCTTATACAAGGATTAATGGGATATTTAAACTAAAGAGTTATAATCACCCATATCCATGTTCAAAAATAATTCTCCTAATATAAACAAGCAAATGAACTAACTTATTTCACAATTTCTTAAATGAAGTGCAATTCTAAATGATTTGATTAACACATATAGAGGGTAGGGGGTAGAGGATAATATAATAGAAAATATCATGCAAATGAGAAAATTCTAAAAAATAAAATATACATGGAAATGTAATGGATATCACACAAAAGATGAATCTAATGCATGAACAGTCTAAGGGTATAGCGTTGGACTAACCCATTTCTAAAAATACTTACTAGCGTTGGACTAGCAAGTAAGCGGAGGGAGAAGCCACAACTAGCGTTGGACTAGTGTGGTGACGTTATGCATTAACAATATATAGTGAAGCAAATAAAGCATAAATTAAAACAAATAAACACATAAGAGCACGTAACACATAACACGTAAGCATAATATCTATATGCCAAAGTCCTAAGAAAAGCGGATAAAACACATAACACATAAGCCACATAAACACACAACTTATCTATTACATCGGGGAGCGCCTGACTACAATCTAGGAGGGAAAAATATAATAAAACAAATCTAATTATCCTATCTATTACATTTTTGAGGTATTTAAATACCTCTCGAATCATTATAAAAATTAACTAAAACGTATATAAGAAAATTTGAATGAATATTTGAATCAAATAAATAAAGCATATAAAAATACATAAACACATAGGAACACATAGAAGCACATAAGAGCACGTAATTGACATTGAAATAATAAAAATAGGGGTACCTCCCGTTTGAAGTGGTGACTAAATGGAGTCAAATTGTCCTATTTATACTCACAATGAACAAAAGAATTATGGCACCACTTTAATTGAAAATAATAATAATAATAAAAGTACTAAATTCACACTAATATGTCAAACATAAAGAAATTTAAAACATCTAAAATTACAAGTTGAACATATTCAAAAGTAACATAATTAGTTAAAAAAGAAACAATCATAATAAAGAGAGCCAAAATTTGCTAAGGACTGAATTGCAAAAATTGAAAACTTTTGGGGGATAAAAATTATATTTTCCAAAGTTCAGGGGTCAAAATTAAATAAAAGATAAAATTCAAGGACCAAAATGAAATTAATTTAAGGACCGAGTTGAAAGGAATTTAAATGTTCTGGGCCGCAGTGAAAGTACTTGAAAGTACAGGGACTGATATGCGAAAACATTTTCTTATTCCTTAACAAATCAGGCCACTGGGCCATCATTTTATTTATTTCTGGGCTAAAAACTACCTAAGCCCAACCGAAATCCAAAGCAAAAGGAAAGAGCCAGTCCACTATTCTAACCTCAAGAATAAATCAACCAGCTGATGGGCCTTAACCCTTCAGCCCAGGACAAACCCAAATGAAAAAAAAAAACCTAACCCAAATCCAAGTAACCCAAACAAATAGCCAAATCCGATTCCCCTTTCATTTTACCAAAACCCAACAAACTAATAGTTGAACTAAAAAATGTTAAAGTTTAATTTCATTCCAAAATCCAGAATTAATTAACTAAAAGCACAATTAAAACATAAAAAAAAAGATTTAAGCTTGAAAGGGGTAAACATGATTGATTTGCAGAAGTTTTTGGGCTTTAGTGAAACAAGGAGAGACTTGAGGGGTTAAAGTGAAATTGGCTAAAATTTCCCATGCAAAGCTGCGTTCTTCTTCTCAAATTCAGAAGCTTTCTGCAACCTTGCTTCGCGTAGCATTTATGTCAGATGCAAGCAACCAAAATCCAGTCAAACATCAAACATTAAACATTCAAACTAAAACTACATGACTTGCAACTCTAATCATCAAAACTCAACCAAAATCTAAACTAAAGTGAACCATCCAAAAGATACAAAACAAGAATAGACGCAGCAAATTCTATGCAACAATTCTTCTGCAACCTTCTGGGTTTGCTGCAACATTCTTTCTTATTCCACCCACGTATGTTAATGCAATAAAAAAAAACTCAAGTAAAACCCACTAGTTTATCAATCTAAGACCAACAAAACTTCCACCCATTTAATTTACATAATCTTAAGCTATGGTGCACACTTTGAAAGATCAAACACGGAGGATTTAGTTTGAGGAAAAACAACAAACAGCAAATGGCTTTGGCTTTTGGAAGAGATCGGACCTAGAACCCCCAAGAAGCAAAAACTCTGTGGTTATAATATTAAAACTAACATCTAACCATCTCTAATACTCTTTTAGTAAATCTGTAGCCATCAAAACCCAAATCTTTGAAGCAATAAAGATCGCAAAAATGAAAAAACTAACAGATACATGTATCATCGAAGAAAATTCATGCAATGCTTCAACAAAATCTTATAAAAAATGTTAAATGGGCAAATTTAAGAGGTATTCGTTACCTGCAAGTAGTTGGGGACTGAATCAATGTGAGGAAAATTAGGAGCTTGTGCCTGGAATGTTGGACACGAAGCAGAAATTTTCTTTCGCCGCCCTCTCCAGTCTCTTGCTTCTTGTCCCTTTTATCTTGGATCCGTTGCTTTCCTTCCTCTTTTTTTTACCTATTCTCCCCCCCTTTATCTCGTCCAAGAGAAAGTGCCAATAATAGAAGCCAAAAGCTCCTTTTCCTTCTTCTTTTGCTTTTTCTTTTTGCCTTTTTCATTCCTTTTTCCATTCGTTACTGGAAATGTGTCTGCCAAAGCTTGGTCAAAGCAAAATTTGGTGGCCATCATGATATCTAAACATCATGATGGCCAACGCCACTTCCTCTTATCTTTTTTTCTTTTTTTTTTTTTTTAAGAAACAAACCTGGAAATACATATATATATAAATGTAAGAAAATAAATAATTCAATAAAAAGTATTCAAGAAAAACATTAAAATTTTAACAAAATTTTGGTGTCTACAAAAACGTATAAAAATGACTTTCAATGTGTAACGATGGCATTTGGATTCGTGGAAGGGAATAACTAGGGTTCATAAACCAACCTTGAAACCAAACTCAAAAGGTTATGAAATTTTCGGCAGAAAACACTTTAACCAACGACAAATCGAAATCCAATAAGGTAAGCTAGGAAGTATTGTTTTCCGGAATCGTTTATGTAGCTCAAAATCATTAAACTATATGCCTTGAAGTACATCATGAAAAGGTGGCAAACTATCTCACGTTCACTCTTAAAACTTCACTTAAAAGTTATTCACTTGTGGCCAAGAGAACCCTAAGTCAACCTCTATATTTTGGTATTAGGGTAGAATGGTAAAATAATCATTTTATTTGCCAAGCGGAAATATATAGGTTTAAATAGAAATTTAACCCTCGGCCACCCTTTGAAAGAGTCGGTAACATTTTCAATAACTACGTCCAATTCGTTACAAAATACATTCGCAAAACTCACTTTAACTTGCTCACATTACAAGAAAATAAACGGACGGCATGTCCCTTGTTTTTACCTATTTTCCAGCCATTAATGGCTTCATTATTTTCCTCAAATCAGTCCCAACATCTCATATAGAAGAATCTCATCCAAAAGCCATTCACTAGGCTTACAAGTCATATCAATACAACAATAAATACGAAAGTCAAGCTAGAAACATTTTCGGATAAAAACAGTTTTGTCTTCAGTTTGCGGTAATGGCACAAATTGCACTACGCTTATCAGATGAGGGTGTAAGACCCACCGTTTCGAAGCTAAGAAACAGGGCTACAACAATGTAGAAGGTCACTCAGTCCAATTCCTAGCACAACTAAGTCAAATATGCCAAATAACAAACCAGAACCGTAATTGCAGGTTTACAAATTACACTATGCTGTAATCAGTACAACTCAGTCTAAACAGGTCCAAATGCAGAAATTCCAAAGGCATATGGTAGCTAGGACATCAAGCTAGATATCATCAGAAGACCTCAACCACCAAATCCAAAGCAATTCCAGTCAAAACAGCCAATTACAAACGCAGTTCGGCCATCCTGAAGAACCCAGAACAGCAACAGTAAAATAGACATTTCTCACTCTACACTACTCCAACTGACCTGAAATTTTACAGGCAGTTCAAACACATCAATACCTACAACTTTCATGTTTTAAGCTAAGGCCAATTCGGCCGCTAACCATATGATCCAAAACCGGACAGAAAAGGGGATATGAAACCCTAACTTTTCACATTTCCTTCCAAATCCAAAATTGGTTGCAATTATCTATCATATACACCTACTAGAGTCATTACCCTTCATTACCAACCATCATAGATAACCACAACATCATGATCACATTAAACCAGAAAATTCATCAATAAAATAAAAACTTCACCAATTCATCTCAAATTTCAGCACTTTAGCTACCACTAAGCACAACTTAAGCTTCATTAAGTATAGGAGGAAGGTCAATCACCACTTACCTAGTAAACAAGAGAAGAGGAGTTAATGGACACCTTAGCTTCCTTGAACACTTCCACAAAATCACTTATATGGAGTAGAAACAAATTTCAGCACTTGGGTTGGATGATTTGAGCTAGTTGGAAGCTTAAATGGTGAAGAGCTCTCTTCCTTTCTTCCTTAAGGTTGGTCGGCCAAAGAAGAGAAAGAAATGGTGATTTTTGTGGTAAATTTGAGATATTTAATCAACAATTGGTAAGAAAGGTCAAAAGTCAAATAAGTTAAATAAGTGGCAACCTCTCTTAAAGTGACACATGTCACTTCATTCAATGCATTTCTATCCTTTTGTTTCCTCTCACACCAATCACATCTCATCCTCCACATATCTCTTAACACCCGATAAATTTCACCCAGTATCCGAAACTTAACCTTATTGGCCGAATTTTTCCGAACTTTTCGCCCTAGTGGGTCCCACATCCGGTATACACTCTTAATTTCTCAAAAACTAACCGATACTAGAAAAATCATTTAAAAACGATATTTACTCATAAAATTGATCTAGAAAAATTTTCTAATAAAGAAAATGCAGAAAACGTGCAATTAAGAAAAGTACGGGTCCTCACAAGGTATCATATTCCATATGTGTTTTTCTGGATTTGAAGAATGTATTATCAGATGAATTCTAACATACTATTTGGATAATTGGTATCCCTCCTTTTTTTTGTCATTTTTGGAGTACTTAGGTGGGATTTTGGATTTGATTACTAAACAACATAATTTTTTTTAAATTTTTAGCACATAATTTGAGAAGTGTACCTTTTCATACTTATCGCTACTTTTCCTTGATTTCAAAGCTACACAAACAATAGTTATTAAAACCAACTCGGGCATCAATCTGACAGGAGAATGGGGTTGATGGATTAGTGGTTCAATCAGTGGATCACAGGTTGAACCGTTGGGTCAGACTATATAATAAAAAAAAATATAACATAAATAAACAAACATATAAATTATAATATAAATATAGAAATTCTTAAATGTTAACAAGTCATAACCTATTCACATTTCATAGTTCATACACACAATCCATACCCATACTTGTTTCTTAGTTCATTAATTCATATTGATATTATATACAAACATAAATGATAAATCTAAGTGTCAAAGAAAGAAATAAACCCTAATTCCCAAATTTCTTTTCAAATTTTCTTATCTAATTGTTAAAAAGACAACAATGCCCATGTTGGTGTGGTTGGTCAAATTAAAAAATTGATAAAAAGGTAATTTCTAAAAAATTTCCAAAACCCGCCGAATTCATAAAAACCGTCGGGTTTAGCAGGTCACTAGTTCGATCGTTCGGATTAAACGGTTCAAACTGAGTTATTTGCAATTCCGGTCGAATTGTTGAATAGGCCCGATTCCATGGCGGGTCCATCTATTTGAGCGGTTCAACCACTGGACCGAGCCAGGTTAATAACTCTAGCACAAACCAATTTATTACCCCAACACCAATTTCAAGCTTTGAATGATGTTTGCTTATCCCATTTTTTAACTTAAGCCGTTTGGCGTTGCTTTTCTTTTAACTCTATACCATTTCTTAGACATTAAAAGTTCCACCACACGCATGTCAAAGTTTAATGAACCCTTCTCCCTAACTACACTTTTTCAATGTGTTTGGATTGCATATTATTTACACTTTATTTATACACATTGACTTGCTTGCATAATCAACACATTTTTTAATCACATTTTATTTCACATATAACACATTAAAAAATGCTAAAGTATTTTAAAAAAAAAATTATCCCAAATAATCTCCTATCCACTTGGTTTATGATTTACTATTTGACATACATTGTTCATAAACTAACTTGATAGTGGTTTACTTGCTCCAATTGAATTGTGGGTTAGAAACCATTTCAGTTAGCAAAACTTGTGCAACTTATGTCTATGGTATGATGTTTAACGTTTTTTGTGTACAAAATATGCCAATAGGTAAAATGTTATGCACAAATATCATCGATTGATTTCCCTCTCATTTCAACAAATATATCTCCAATCCCCAGAATTATGTTTGTTTCACGTTTGATTCATCTAAGTTTTCATTTTTATCGCAATATGAGAAACTTCTGATATCATGCTACTTATTTATTAAAACTATTTTTTCAATGCAAAAAGACAAGGGTTTGAACTTGTTTTTACAACCCTCACTTAATACCACGTTTGCTTTAATTTCACATTTTATCTAACCAATTTTTTCTATCTCAATATAAAATAAATCGAATATTATGATTCATCATTACTGTAAGATTAATTTTGAAGATTGAATTAAAAAATTAGAATAAAAATGTATTTAAAATATGTATTCATGTTGTTAGCCTAATTCAACAAAAGGGAAAAAATCACATCTTTCATTTTTCTTTTTTGATACAAGAGGAGAATTAATGTGATATAAAAGTATAGACTATCTAATACTCATAGATATTTCCAATCACATATTAGGATAGTTGCTCCTGACCGGGTCACCAGAATAATTTGGTTACTCGTGCACTACCAAGCATGGATGTCCAGCAAACATTTTTGAATTATTAGCTAATTACTTTGATTAATAGTCTAAAATACAGTTAGCTGATTAATATCATCATTGACCGAGTTGGAATTGCATTAGAATTCATATTTAGAATATTACTAAGGGTTTAAAACAAGGGTTGTACCATGCCCGACACAAAAAATAAAACAGTGCTAGGTAAAAAGTTGCACTATTCTTCGTTGACTTCCAAAAGCAATTTCAAGCTTCAAGTGGAACTTTGTTGACTTCTTGACACATCTTTGTTCACGCATTCATGATATGGAACTTTGGGGGGAAAAAAGGTGGGCAGATCAACAATGGTTGAGGGGTGGGGCGAAGAATTGCGGGAATGAAGATCAAATATAACAAGAAGATAAAAGAAAAGAAAGAAGACTTCTGATCTGTTTTTGGGGATGCTATCATGTAACCCTAAGCAGAACGATAAGAACTTAAAAGTAAAAACTATACTAGGTCGATCTGCTGTGGACATCGACACATTGATTAGTGTCATTTTTATCATAGGCAAAACCAATTCCATTCTAACTCTCAGACCA